GAATTTAACTTTAACATTGGTCACCAAAAAATAATGACTTTGCATATCAATTTGGCACGGAGGGAGTATGAAAATTGATAAATTGTGTGGATTTTTGAAGGATGGCTAAACTTTAATTTCCTCTTAAACACTTGAAAAAATTTGCATTGTTTGGTATTAATAAGGCATGGTACCGTCCCGTTTGAAAATAGAACCGTACCAAACGGGTTTAGGTCTAAGACCGAACCGAACCAAACCAAACCGTTTGAATAGTCACTTTACGGGTACGGGTTCGGCCAAATATTGAACCGGACCGGACCACGCTGACCCCTAAAATAAACCGCTCGTTCAATGACCTACCGAGCTAGCATCGAGGCTAGAAAGTCATCACTAGTAAAAACTTCCATATCCATCTTCTTGGAAACTAAGATCCCAAGATTCACAAAAAAATTAAGTACCAGATAAATTTAGTGAACCAATCCCACTTCATACTAACATTTATTTTGATTAGTATTAAGTGATCTTGATTTCGCAGGATTACTCCTTGGGTCCGAAGACTCCCAACAACACATCCGAAACCATTGAGAGAAGTAAATCTAATTCGTTCAAATAATCCACAAGATAAATTGCTCATTGCATGCCTAACCAAGCTAGCCCAGAGGCAATACGGTCATCACTTGAGAAAATCTAGCTTTCATGGGCACCCTATTGGGACTTAAACTCAAGATCTAGTAAACTCTAGGTACACGATATAATTAATATGAATCACTCCCGATTTTTCCTTAGGGTCTGTTTGAGAGTTTGAAGGGAAGTGGAGGAGAAAGCTTCAGACTTCAGAGGTATGTTGTTGGATGAGAAAGGGAGAGGAGGGTGAGAAATCTTTTTTTTTGTATTTGGGAGTAATAAAATTGGAAGGAGAAGATTTTTGAAGAAATTATAATTAAAATCACTTTGAGATATGACGAATTCAAATTATTGAGCTGATATTCAATTCTAATTTAGCTTAAATTACCATCTTGTTAATTATCCTCCAAAACCTTCCGAATTGGGGGGAACTTAAAAATCAAGCATTTGAAGGGTTTTGAAGGGTTACAAAAACCCTCCAAAACTACCCCTCCAATTTTTTAAACTCCCAAACATGAAAAGAAGAGTCATAAATCCCCATTAACCTTCCCCTCCCTTCCAAAACCCAACCCCCAAACACACTCTTAGATGCACTTTTAGCATCAAGAACATATCCTAAGTACTTGAGAGGTAAATCTTAGCACTAGACAATTTCTCAGGTTTGCACAACCTTTTCTACACCATTGCATACATGAAATCATTTTTTGAACCGATTGATGCACGGGTCCTCCCTGAACACAAATAAAAATGCTTTGTGTACACATTTTGTACACTCGTCTGTCTCAAGCACATAGAATTGTCTGTCCACAGACAACTCTGTAGAATTGTTTGTGGACAAATAATTTTATGTGCGTGAGACACATGGGTGTACAAAAGTCAAAAGGTGTATAAAAAAATATGTACACTGAACGCAAATCTCGAGAGAATAGCATATTGATCAAACATCATTAGGGTTCAAAAAAGAATTCATTTTGACATTTCCGCTTGAGACGGAAACCTTAATTGCACAATCACTCGAACTAGCCTCAAGATTAGTATATCACCATTTTTAGAAACATGGATGACTCCCACTTGCCACTTGAACTAAGATCTGCCATAATATAAGGATAAGTGTGGGAAGTGATCCACATTCACTACCCTCACTTGCCACATAAGCATTTTTACTTTCATTAAAAATAAATTTACATTTGTAATTTGTATGCCTAGATTTTTTTTTATTGAATCCTAAACACGATTCAACTGTATGCTTTCGTCACTGGCAGTATTGATGATATAGATATTTTAGAAGAGGTGGGCCCAATAATTGTTCAGCTAATTAACAAACCTTGAATAATTGGACTTCGTATTAAATAATTGGGTTGAAGTGATTTGACGAATTCGTAATTAGTGCGGGAATTAGGTGTATATATCTAATCAAATCTAATCAATTAAAATTAAAATTTATAAGATATAACAATGACATGCCTCCTGTCCCAATTTGTCACACCACTTTCTTGTTTAGTTTGTTTCACAATGATGTCCATATTTAACCATACCTAGTTTTATGGCCTTTGGTAGAGGTTCATGGACTTGAGGAGTTAGGGATTACATCAACGATGGCTTGGACCCGGGCCATTTTCGATCTTGAATATGTGACGATAACCGTGAGCCGTTTTGAGCGGTGAAGGTTGGGTAATGACTTAGAGTACTAGCTAACGTGACGCGTGTGGTAAGGTTGAACTAGATCGACACAAAGATTGATTTTGAGCAAATTTTTATATGCGCGCTTTTTGACACAGTTATTTTTTTTTTAATTTGAAATGAGCTAGCGCCTCACATGCCCCTAGCACAAATTTAATGATGAGGAGTTATGAATAATGTTGGAAATCAAAGGTTAGATCACACTCACTATTTACTTTATCTAAGGAATGAAATGAATTTTGAACGTTCATATAACTATTTTAATAAAATTAAGAGTTATTTAGTTAAACAAAAAGAAACGACGAGGATAATGACTTCATTAAGTTCGACTAGACGTCCACTTGGAAGTAATGAGAGACTATCAAGAATATTTTTGGTTTTAAAGTGAATGTAATTATGAAAGAGGAACATACTTAAAAATTAAAATATAGTAGTCATTCGATCAAGTATTGAAACGTATTGTCTTCAAAAGGCCTTTGAGTGAATCTCCATCCAAATCATACTCCGTATATACTATAGTTGGAAGAGAGGAGGACTAAAGAAAAAATAGAATATAGGTAAATTGAAAGATCGAGATATTTTCAATCTGGTGATAACTCTGGTACTCATTTAAAAAATGAAGTGTGATACATATCGATTGATTCAAATCATTACATCATTTTTAATTTAGATTCAAACAATTCAACTACAGCTTTCTGATTGATCCATGTGGACAAAAGTATGATACTGGTGTTTTTTAGTAAAACTTGAAAAGCACACGGGTGTGAATGTGTGTATGCTTGTATTGATAAAAGTAAAGCAACCAACCAATTGAAATAAAAGGTTGCGAACTCTCTTAAATTTGCCAGCGATGTTTACACTTATATGGTTAGCTACTGTTGAAAAAATGTAACTCGTATTAAATCAATTCTTTTGATGCATCATAATCAATGTCCTATGTATTTAGACGAATTTGATAAAATTCAATGCCTCTAAATCTATTAAATTTGATGAGATTTAGACCGAAAGGTGGCTGTAATGGATTGAATCTTCTCAATTATAGAGAAATTGTATGGTGAATTTAAAATTCATTTTATTAATAAAATTAAGATTCTGTTATGAAAAATAGTTAAAATGATCTAGTAACTTGATCCAATTCAAACAAAAAATATTTTCAACCTCACTTATTTTGATTAACACATAATTCAAAGCACGAAATCAATATGTTTGTAAAAATATTGTCCGGCAAAGTGATAAGCCAAAAAAATGGATTATGAAACGGGTTCTACTTCTAATATCTATTCTCTCGTATTTAACTTAAACATACTGATCAAAGATGCATATTTATCTGTTAGCATTACGAACACCTTGATCCTAATAAATATGTCATCCTTTGGAAAGCTTAGATGTTATGAATTTAAATCATCTAAACTTTACAAAGGATCTTTGGTTTTGTTAGTAATACTATAATAGAGGAATTCAAATCATTTAATACAGGCAGAGATGGGTAAATACATAACTCTAAATGACAGAAAAGATTAATTTGATGGCAAGATAAAGAATGAATATTATATGTCATCTTCTATGCAGATCCATTGTATGAAAGGCTTGATAATATTCAATTCAAGGTAAACTTAAAGGAGTATTTGGAATTGATGGTGCTTCTACATTTTTCTTAAAAGCAGAAGCAGAATCAGAATGATTGTTTCATAAACTGGTTTCCTTCACTTTCTAAAAAACTTCTTTTAGAAGTAATTTGAAACATTCGGAATTACTTGTGTAGTTTCACCAAAACACTCCAATAGTTTCTGTTTTTTGAAAGGAGAAGCACTATTGAGAAACAAAAATGATGTTTGTACAAACTCTTATACACACTTTTGTACACACCTATGTTTGTGAAAGCTTTTTTTTTGTCTGTGAGCATCGATTCACAGACAATATTTTGCACAAACAAAATATTGTCCGTGAGCCGGATTCACAGAAAAAAAAACTTCACAGACATCATGTGTATAAGATGTGTATAAAGGTGTGTACATCAAGCAAAAACTCATACATCAAGCAAAAGCAAAACCTGTACACTTCTACCACGACCATACATGTGGCACTACAAAACATCGTGTTCAAATTCACAAAGAGCTTTTTCCATTGTAACTTTCAGATGAAGTAATATGAAGAAATCATTGCGTCAGGGTCACATTTTCATCCCTATATTAATCTTTAAAAGATTTTAGAAATTAGTGAGAAATAATTAAATACTCCCTCCATCCCATAAAATTCTTCCCACTTTGACTTGACACGAAGATTAAGAAAGTGAAATAAAGTTGAAATGTGTGGTTGTAGTTGTGTAAGAAAAATGTGAAATGAATGTGAACCACACAAATTATCCAAAAATGGTAAGTGGGAAGAATTTTTTGGGCAGACCAAAAATGAAAGTGAAAAAAATTTTATGGGACGGAGGAAATATCAATCAAGTTCTAAAAACATAAGCTGAACGAGAAACATTTGAGGTAACATAAAACTAGTATTTTCTTGAACCTAAGAGCGTTGTGGTACTTGTTTGAAATGACCTTCACAATTGTATTTCATTTGGATTTGGAGGATTCCTCTTTGGTTTACATACAAGGTGATTCGGCCAAATAGAAGTAAAATCGTTTGTGAATTTCAAAACATTTTTGGTGCTATTTTGGGAACTTCCTTGTACAAACAATGATAAAAAGAAACATAAAGTAAAAGTAAGAGCAAAATTGATCGGGAAAGATGGGATTTTGTACATAAATGCTTTATTCTTTCTACACCAAACATGCGGATTGATCAAACTTCCTCAACTTAACAAGAATACTTCCTAATGATTATTGCAACATTTTCTTTAACACGAGAAAATCAGAACCAAATTAAGCAACGACCCAAATCAAACCATCTTTCCCTCTTTCAGGAGGAAAAAACTTTAAAGAGAAAAAAAGAGAAAGAAGGAAGGGAATAGAAAAAGAAAAAGACGACTTTCCAAGAAAGAAAAGAGCAAAAGACAGGATTTGACTCATTTAGGCTCCGTCTCTTTCGCTGTCCCTCACTCACTCCACACAACCAATCAGCACAGCACAGCACAGAACGGCCGTTACCCTACCGAGTCGACTCACTACGACTCGTCGAGCTCCCATGCCGACGTGGCAATGAGCGGCCGGGTGTGCCAGCCCAGAGTCAAACACCCGTCGTTCTCCTCCACCCGGTACCCGTCCCCGCCGGCGAACACCTCCAGAAGCATGCTCGCCTGCTTGAACGCGTTCGAACCGAGGTGGACCGGCCCGAACCCGGCCGCCTTCATCCTCCGCCTCCACTGGCTCAGGCTCTCGTGACGCTCGGCTCGGTCCGCCCCTTCGCAAGCCACCACGTTACAGATCTGCTGGCCGAGGTAGATCTCCGCCATCTCCAGGTCCTGGATTTTGACCTGAGTCAACCCCGGGCTTGCCGGCGAGTCGGCCTTCAGCCGGGAACTTTCCAGGGAATCGAACATGGTCGAGTAATAATGCAGGGCCTCATTGAACCGGTCCAGGAAAACGTCGCCGTTGTGGTTCGCTTCCTGCTCGACGATTGTCACGATCTTCGGCGCCATCCCTTTGACGGAATCCAACACCTTTTCTATCCCGCCGGCCCGGCCCAACAACCTGTGCAGGTCGAAGACGGAGTTGACGGCGACCACTTCGATGTTTCTGGGTCTTATGTCTAACATTGCTGCGTCTATGTCAGTCAGAGAATTCGCCATGAATCCACGGAACTCGAACTCAACTCCCATTCTCTCCGCGAATTGGGCAAGCTTCCACCCGACTTCCTGAAGGGCGTCGGTGTTATCCGGCTGGGGAGGGCCGATTCCGGTGAGCCTGAAGGCGGGCGGGCCGCCGGGTCTGAGAGCCAACGCCTGAATCAGCGGCGGCCACTGCATCCCCTGTTTCAGGCTGAAATCGATGACGTGGACGCGGGAGGAGCTGGAGAAGGCCTCCAGGATGGCTTGGTTGGCCGTGAAATGAGCGAATTTCAGGTAAGGGCAGGCGTCGTAGAAGTGCATCTGAAGAACGTCGTTGTAGGAGGTGTCGAAAGGGGTGTCTTTTTGGTAGTTTCTGTAAATTCGCTGACCCAGAGCGACGGCGAAATACGACGCGACTTTCCTCATTGCTCCGGCTTGAGAGACGGCGAGAATTCCGATGTGTTTCAGCAACGCGTCTGCTAGCTTGAAATTCTCCTGCTGGATGGCTTCGGCGCAAGCCATCAGGGTATGTACAAGACGGACACCGGTTTCTTGAGAATCCACCAGCACCACCGGCCGGGGAGGCTCTGTAGCCACTGCACCGGCGCCCATTCCCGCCGACGACTCGCCGGAGAAACTAGATCCGGCTGAGGATTTCTGTCGTTTATACGTTGGTGATGGTGAAGGCTGCTCTTTTACCTTCTGCTCTCTACACGTGTTACCGAAAATAGCGCCGCCGGGAATCGCCCTCAAATCGTCATCGGAAATCCTCCTAATATTTTCGCTCTCTCTGTTCGAGAAGCTAATCATAGCGGGAGGTTCTCCTGGCAAAATCATTTTGTCGCCCCCAACGGCAGCGGTGCAAGGGGACTGGTGATGAAGGGCGTCGAAATTTGGCGACGAAGATGAGGAATCGTTGTCACCGTTGAGTTCAAAGAGCATGTTTTGGATCCAGCCAGTTAGATCAGAAGGGTTGAAGTGAACCGTAGAATTGGAAAGATGGGAAATCCCATCCTCCATCGTTGTCCCCATCGCCATCTCCAGCTGCTCAAGCTTCTGAGCTACGTCCGCCATGTCCGAGGACTTAACTTTGTAGCCCAACACCGCAAGTAGCTCATCCATCCCCGCGTCTGGAGGCGGTTCTTCCCAAATCTTTCCTTTACCCATTAAAGATCTCTCCTCCTTCAGTCGATCGCGTTCCCTCTTCATTGTAATTCTGATTCGACGCAGAAATTGATTCGAGAAAGTTGGATTATTTAATGTGGGATTTCGGAGCAAATCTTTAGAATTTCTAAGATCCACCGATTTCAGCTGTCCGGGGTTTCTTTATAAAAGGTTTACTGTTATTAGTTTTTCTAATTTTCTGTGAATTCGAGAAGAAAAGAGTGCTTATGAAGGCGCAAGCTTCAAGGGAGGAATGTATGGAGGAGATAAGGAAGACGAGCCAGCCAGAGTAATATAATAGGGTTATGGCTTGTCTATCCTTTTCCCCTTTTTATTATATTTTCATTTTCATTTTTTTCTCCGTGACTAATATTACATGAATTCCAATTTTCAAATAATAAATTATCTCCCGGCCATTTCACAAGTCAAATTCAGTCATTTTTTTGGTAAAAAGTCAAACTCAGCCGTAACGATACATATCCGAAGTATGAAAGACTTTTTGTCATTTTTTATCTCCGACTATTATGTCATTAACACTTTTGATATTTTACTTTGATTTTTTCCACTTTTAGTGAGTGACTATTGCGTTATGGACACTTTTGACGCAAATTATAGCGTGGGATCGGCACACCATGCGCATGGTGTGCCGATCCCAAAACGGCATCATATTAATTAAAACGGCAAGCTCATGGGGACGGACGTCTCAACCCCTTGGCAGGACACATGAGGCAAGTTCTTTGGGACGAACGTCCCCACGCCTTGGCAGAAAGCCAAGATCCTGTCGGGAGGCAGGTGACAAGCTCATGAGGACGAACGTCTCCACTTCTTGGCAGGAATCCAAGATCCTGGCGGGAAGCAGAAGGCAGGTCATGGGGACGAAGGTCTCCACTCCTACTGTAGTTCACGTGAATTTTTGTTTAAAAAATTGTGCAAAACTACGTCATTTTGAGGGTGGAGCATGATGTTCACCGTGGGATGATATCACGGTATACGAACTCCACTTTTGATACCCATCTTTTAAAATTTTCATATTTAGTCATTTGACTTTCATACGAGTGACACTTGGTCCTCCAATTATTATAATAATGACACTTTTAGTCCTCTCCTTATAGTGTCAAAATCATAGTGAGGGGATCAAAAGTGTCAATTTGATAATATTCAGGGGACTAAATGTGTCTCAAATACAATAGTCGAGGACAATAGTCAAAGTGTCTCAAACACAATAGTCAAGGACTAAAATCGAAAAAATTAAAAGTTGAGTACTGAAAGTGTCAATGACACGATAGTAGGAGGACTGAAAATGGGAAAAACTCAAGTATAAAATTATACGAGTATGCCGCTAATCCCTTTTAACTTAAATTAGATGATGCGTCAAATATTTTTTTATAAGTAAACATGACACACTATCATGGAAGAAATAAGTATAGAATACAAAAAAATATTTAGTGTGTTGGTATAATTTAAAATTTCAAGAAAATTAATTCATATTTAATCATATATATGACCTCTGTCCCACTATAATTGTTTAACTAGTTACTCCACCCGTGCGTTGCACGAGACTGAAGGAAGTATGTACATAAAATTGTAGATGAATTTTATATAAAGTAAAAAAAGTTGATAGTGAATAAAAATAATTGAAAACATAAAAATAAAATAAAAATCATATTTAATAGGAAATTTAGAAACAATGCTTGAAGTTAAATATAAACCATCATGCAATAAAATAGGTGCTCATGTATGTAAAACTAGGGGAAAATACAAATTATTATAAACTTTTTGCATGAAACTTTCAACGCGAACTTGGTTGGTTGTCCATCTTGATCGCATATCATAAACTTTAATGCATATGGGCTTGTTACTCTATAGATTGCCAATATCATAAATTTTAATTCATATGAGCTTGTTACTCTGCGGACTACCATGTACAATACAATTGTCCATGTGTAAAAATAGGGCAATAGAGCAATATGCCAACCTTTTGAATGATTGTCTCTAACTCTCATTTATGGTCATTGCACACATGCATATTGTACCATTGCATTGTACGAGATATAATTTATATTAGAAAGTCAATTGTATAAGCACATTCATGCATCTTTTTATAGACTTAACATCTTTTATCAATCCAGAACTTGAAAGATATGTCCACTCACAATATGAAGTCTGAAAAATAAACTGTGTAATCTGAATGATTTGGAACTATCAATGTAAGACATAAAATATCATATATTTTCGTTTGTTAAATTTTTTATTGATTCCATTGCTATATTTTTATGACTATTTCTTCGTAATAGTTTATTATTTTAATAAGATATATTAAATAATATTTAAATTTTTTTGAAATAAAAAGATATCAACATTTATGATATTTCAGGTCTTAGATTGATAGTTTTCAATCATTCGAGCAGTATAACAATACATTTTATCTTTCAAGATCCTTATTGATAGTGAATATATTAGTTGGATGCACATAATGATCTTTCACCCATGCATTCCACTAAATTCCAAACTAATCAAATAGTTACTCAAAGTTGCTCCAAATATATGAGGAGTTGATTACCAATTATGCTATTAAATTGTCTCAAGAAATATAACACATCACATTTCACCTTAAGCGGAATAAATTATAATTTTAATATGACCTTGTTTTTAAAAGGCTACATCTTAATGGTCTTCTAAAAATAATCTCACATTCTGATAATCTGAAAATAATTTAACATTTTCACCACAATTTCTTACATTTTTCTATTTGTTTCTCATTATTTCAAAGAAGAAAAAGCAAAACAACTGTAATAAAGATTTCTCTAAGAAAAACAAATTGGTTTCATATTATCATAAAGCGCTTCTTCTTTTAGAAGAGCGGTAAAAGATGTAATATTTGCAACCAATACATCCTTTAAAAATGAATTTGACATGTTAATTTTTGACTTATTTAAACAACTTTTGACACACTTTCATCTTACTCACATCGTTCCAAAAATTAGATCAAGTGTACTATTGATAAAGAACCAAGTGTTACGATTTAGGTTAATAAAACGATAAATTAAAGAGCAAGAACACAAGAATTTATGTGGTTCACACAATCGGGGTGATTGTGCTAGTCCACGGCGAACGAGAGAGAGCTGTTTTATTATTATGTCTGCGTCTTAGGGTATTACAACGTACAAAGGGTCGTTTAAATAGGTTTAAGAAAACCTAAACAAAGATTAGAGCCGCAGGCCAAAAAAATTAGGCATGTAATTAAAATTAACCCGTAGACCCGGTCGGGTCTCCTATTTGACCCGGTCGGGTAACTCCTCAGCAAGTATGCCCGGGTTGAGACCAGGGCGGGTAACCAAAGCAGAAAGGTAGAAACTCCACTGGCCCGGTCGGGTCCCCTTCTTGACCCGGTCGGGTGTCGCCTCAAAAGGCATACCCGCGTAGACACCAGGTCGGGTATGCTAAACAGAAGCCAAAACCATCCACGGACCCGGTCGGGTAAACCTCCTTACCCGACCGGGTTTCCCAATCCAGAGAGTTGCCCGGCCAAATTCACATCATACCCGGTCGGGTGACTTACCCCACCCGGTCGGGTATCTCTTGCTGCTGCACAAACAAGGCTCCATCTTCAACAATCTCCCACTTGGAGGCTTGTTCAACAATCATCTGCCATCCAAGAACTTGTATCCTCTGTAAAACCCCTTATCTCTCTCTCTCTCTCTCTCTCTCTCTCTCTCTCGTTCACGCCTTCTCATCAAGTATCTGGAAGGCCAGTTGAAGCCATGCAAAGCTTCAACTTTTCCGTTGTCACCGCCTTGGTTAGCATGTCTGCTGGATTCTTCGTACCAAGGATCTTCTGCAAATTTATAGTACCATCTTCAATCAACTCTCGGATGAAATGATACCGCATCTTGATGTGTTTCGTTCTGCTTTGAAACACCGGATTCTTTGCGAGATGAATAACACTCTGGTTGTCACAACATAGAGCGCAATCTCCCTGCTTCATGCCCAACTCAGAAAGAAAGTTCTTCAACCAGATTAACTCCTTGGCCGCTTCAGCAATGACCATATACTCTGCTTCTGTGGTTGAAAGAGCCACACTCTTCTGTAGTATAGACATCCAACTGATTGCCGTACCTCCAATAGTGAATACATACCCCGTTGTGCTCTTCCCGGAATCATAGCAACCCCCCAAATCAGCATCGGCAAATCCTTCAAGGATCACACCATTCCTTCTGAAACATAGGGCAGTTTCAGAAGAGCCTTTCAAGTAGCGCAACAACCACTTAACTCCTTCCCAATGTTCCTTTCCCGGATTTGACATGAACCTGCTAACAACTCCCACTGCATGAGCAATGTCTGGCCTTGTTGACACCATCGCGTACATCAAACTGCCAACGGCTGATGCATAAGGAACTTTAGCCATTTCTTCTTTGTCTTCATTGGTCTTTGGAGACTGCTGCTTGGAGAGTTTCAGTTGACTCCCTAACGGTGTACTCCTTGGTTTGGCATCCGTCATTCTGAACTTCTCAAGGACCTTCTGAATGTACTTTTGCTGTGAAAGCTGTAAAGTACCTTCTATCCTGTTTCTGACTATGCTCATCCCAAGAATCTGCCTTGCTTCCCCTAAATCCTTCATCTCGAATTCTTCTCACAACTTCTTCTTAAGTTTGTTGATCTCCTGCATATTTGCTCCAGCCATCAACATGTTATCAACATACAAAAGAAGAATGATGTATGATGACTTGAATTTCTTCAAGTAGCAGCAATGGTCCATCTTGCATCTAGTGTATCCATTTTGCTGCATAAAACTGTCAAACTTCAAGTACCACTGTCTAGGAGCTTGCTTTAGTCCGTATAGACTCTTCTTGAGTTTGCACACCAACTTCTCCTTACCACTCACTGGGAACCCTACTGGTTGAGCCATGTAAATGTCTTCTTCAAGGTTGCCATGAAGAAAGGCAGTCTTTACATCTAGCTGCTCCAATTGCAAATTTTCAGCAGCAACAATACCAAGGATCAACCTGATAGTAGTCATCTTCACAACCGGAGAGAAGATTTCATTGTAATCAAACCCCTTCTTCTGTTGGAACCCCTTGACAACTAACCTTGCCTTGTATCTTTTGCTCCCATCTGCTTCATCTTTGATTCTGAACACCCACTTGTTCTCCAAAGCTTTCTTTCCCGGTGGTAACTTGACTAAGGACCAAGTTTGGCTCTTATCAAGTGAGTCTAACTCATCCTCCATGGCCTTCTTCCACTGTATGGAATTCTTCACAATCAGCGCCTCTGTGTAAGATTCTGGCTCTCCATTCTCGGTTAGCAACAAATAATTTGCTGAAGGAGAATATCTGTTAGGAGGTCTTCTGTTTCTAGTGGACTGT